GAAAGAGTTTTACAGCACTTGCAACACAATTACGTCATATAGGTGCCCAAGACTAGACGTGTTCCCAGAGAGTAACAAACACAAAAAAAGAAGGAGGAGAGATGAGGACGATAGATGATTGAAAGGAAAGAAGGAGCAAACCACGTCAGAGCATCTGCCAAACACCCACTCTTCCACAGTGAGAGCTAATACTTACATAAAAGAAGAGAACAAAAAGTCGGTAAGAAAACACGACAACTTAAGCCATATTATTATCGGAGAAATACTGTCAGACAAATTGTGAGGTGGCTTGGTGAAATCAGGGGCTCCTCAAAATAACTAAATCGAAGAAACAGGCAAAATTGACATCAAATTTGTATTGTTTTGGCTTAACCTCTCAAATGTCCAAATAAAAATACATTTCCATGTGAATTTTACTGAAAAACATTGAGTAAAGGCACAAAATATGCCATTCTTCAGTTTTCAAAGACTCTTTTGCTATTGGAGTTACCAAACTTTGGCAGCTATTTTCTCAATAATTTCACCACAGAAATAAAGCGACCTCACTTGCTTCCATCGCAGATATTTGGGTTCTATTCGAGATAAATGAATATTTCTTTCCTCAGAAGCAAGGCAAACAAACCAGCTTTCAGATGATACCAATAACTTCACAAGCCCAGAAATAGATGAGCGCCTGATTCCACCGCGTCATGACACAATTATTATATGTCTCCACACACACACAAAAGACAACCAGACAAGAAGAATGAACGCACGCTGCGGAGAACCATAAACTCACAAAGATGTCTGACAACTCAAAACTTCATACAAACAACCTTTAAAAAAGCGGAGACAACACAGAAGTAAACGATCTTTAAAAAATGCAAAATAACGTCAAACAAAAAACATGAAATTCTACCAGTGACTCATCAGAAGTATGCAAAAAGATGTAAGCAAACCACAATAAAAAAAAAACGTGAGTAATTATTCGACTTATTTCAATACAAAGACAACACAAACCAGAAACGATCAAGATACATCTGACCACAAAAAAAAAGAACGACCTGGAAAACAACACTTTTACAAGAAATAATTTTTTACAAAAAGCACATACCATGACTTTATCACGACATAAATAAAATGATCAAATACATTAGAGGGGGGGTTTGTTTAGCAATAAATCTGGTTACGTCAGGTTTTTGGGTGAATGAAAAGTGAAGACACAGTGAAAACAAAACAAAAAACATACAAAAAAAAACAGCGTACACTCAGATGCCAACGAGCACACACACACACACACACACACACATCAAAGTAGCACCGGTGTCATGAGAAGGTATGTCTCGGTACATTAAAAAAAAGGTTTAAGTTAAAGCAAAAATGAGAGGCAGCGTGGTGAAATCAGGCGCTCGTCAAAATAATGAAAGTCAAGAAACTGGCATTTTTCCGCATGTTTGGGAATTTTTATCAAATTTTATTTTTTCAGCTCAACGACTTTCATGCCCTTTAAAGAACACATTTCTGTGTGGATTTTACAGGAAAACGTTGATTAAAGACATAAAAGAAGTACATCTTTAGTTTCCACGGACTCTCAAGCTCAGGAAATAACTCAACTTTGGCTGCCATTTTCTCGCTAATTTTACTTCTGACACCAGTCGACCCCACCTCCTTCAATTGCCAAATATCTTGACTTGTATCCAAGATAAATGAATAATTTTTCATCAAAAGCAAGGCAAACGGACAGGCTTTAAGACGATACCAATAACTCTATATGCCCTAAAACTGACGAGTGCCTGATTCCACCCGTGTTGTGACATAAATGATATCTTTCTCACAAATACTGAAACTGCACTTGAAATACTTCATGCCATTTTCATTTCGTTTTAGTAACAAGAGTTTTACAATACTTGTAACACAATTAGGTCGGAAAAGCGATGCAGATATTTTAAGAGTTATTTGTTACAAGAGAGTAACAAACACACATAAAAGAAGGAGAGATATGGGCAACAGATGTTTGATAGGAAAAACGGAGTAAACCACAAGACAAAACAGCCGCCAACCCCACGTGTATTTGAAATGCTACAGGCCAGCGTATACACCTGCCCTTGCCAGCAAATGACTAGTCTTAACCCCTGAGTGAAACTACAGCGATTCAACATTACTACACTTTTCCTCATCTGCACATCTCACTCATTTCTCTCTCCTCATCAAGTCACATATCGACAGAGAAAAAACTCCGTCAAACGCCACTTTCCAAACTACAGCGATTCAACATTACTACAATTTCCCTCATCTGCACATCTCACTGATTTGTCTTTACTTTGTTATAGTAAGAGTTTTACGGCACTTGCAACACAAAAAAGTCATATAAGTGCCGAAGATTAGAGGAGTTACAAGGGAGTAACAAACACAAAAAAAGGAGGAAATAAAAAGGACGAAAGATGGTCGATAGCAAAGAAGGAGCAAACCACACCAGAGCACCCGCCAATCACCCACACTCATTTCTCTCTCCTCATCAAGTCGTACATATCGACCACACAGAGAAAAAACTCCGTCAAACGTCACTTTTCAACGTGGCGTGGCCAATGGTGGAGTCACACACCAAGCATTTGTTACGCGTAACCTGAAGACTGAGGGTAAACCACAAATCTCCAAACCAGGTCCTGCTGTAAGTACATTATACCTTCACACAATCGGCTGCTTTTTCAATAAATACACATGCTTCTTCCACAGGCTTCATCCCTTTACCAGTCAACCACAAAGCAAATCTTGCTCTTTAACAAACAAGCCTCCCCCCTCCCCCCCCCAAGGATCACCTATCTCATTCTACATCTCTACCATCTCTACCATAATCAATGGAATTAACCATCTGAAGACGGAAACAAAATGTTTTCATGACTTTGATTACAGTAATCCAGAGTACCTGCACTGTCTACCATCTGTCTGTCTGTCTGTGTGTCTGTCTGTCTGTGTGTCTGTCATCATCCCTATCTCCCAAACACACGACAATACGCACTCTTGAACTTTGGACCCAGGGACACAAAGAGAACCAAAGTCCTTCCTCTGTGACAGACACAACAAATCACGCCTCCGGGATACAGGAATGTCACAGGTAGGAATGAACGACTCTTTGAGTCAGGAGAAGCATATCGCACAATGCAATAACGGTACAATAATAATAATATTTGCATTTATATAGCGCATATCCATGCTCAAGAGCATGCTCTATGCGCTTTGCAACTATTATTACCCTAGCAGACCCTCTGAAAACACTCAGAAACATTCTCAGCTTCCACAGAAGCATACAGTGCAAGCTGCGGATTTCACAGGCTCGAACACTATCAAACTGACAAGATCGTTCACTGTTTAATCCAAGGGAAAAGGAAGACTGACAGATGGCAACAACAGAGGGAAAGTTAAGAAGTAGGGCTAACCAATGGCACCCTCCGACCTCCAACAGTTCAGAAACTATAACATTATCGCGTATAGCACAATCATCACAAAGCATGCTACAGAGAAATGGGAACTTCTGATCCTTTTCTCCTCGGTAATGAGGAAAGACAATAATAATCATAACATTAATTATCTATCAATATGGTCCCGATTTATAGTAAGGGATGTATAAATACAGTTAGGTAATTCAACATACTGGACCTCCGGATTTAATGGCCAACTCCACAATTCTACTTAGCCAAATGAGTGAAGAGTCTTCAAAACCAAAGTTCAAGAATGCTCTGTTAAGGGATACCAACCAACATCCCCTATACCTTAGTCTGGAGCGATACACAGCGATGTGCAGCGATACGCAGCAACAGCGATACGCAACGATACTCAGCAACAGCGATACAGCAATACACAGCGATACACAGCAATACGCAGGACACTTCGGTCAGTAGCACTGCCCTGAGGGGGGGGATACATCCACCTGCATCACGACCATTTAGATAAGTCACGTATTCTGCTAGAGATAGCTCTGAGACATGACTCTGCACACTACTGTTTTGATTGACCCTAAAACCACAGAGCACTAGCATGCATGGTGATCCTTTGATAAAAAAGAAAAAGACTAAATAATCTCATTTCCCCCACACACCTAAACTTGTGTGTCAGAGAGGAGGTGAGCCAAGCACACACCTAAACTTGTGTGTGTGTAACAGAGGACGTGAGCCAAGCCGAAGCACACACCTAAACTTATGTGTCACGCAGCACACACCTAAACTTATGTGTCACACAGCACACACCTAAACTTATGTGTCACACAGCACACACCTAAACTTATGTGTCACGCAGCACACACCTAAACGTGTGTGTCACAGAGGAGGCGAGCCAAGCCGCAGCCCAAACGCTAAGGGCCACCAGACGTAACAAGCATTGACCAAATCACAACACAGCGGTGTAGTTGCAGTCCCTCAAACATATCACTGACGAGAAAGACTCCCATGTGGCACAAACAAAGGAGCACAACGCAGCAACAGCCATGTCGTCAGTGGGATACTTTCTAGAGACCTTATAGGGACAAACAGAATCATACATTCTACAGACTTCAACACAAGTTAAGAACCACTCACAAATTTGGCTAAAATTCCTCCGAGGATTTCCGTGCCGCACTTGGAGGTTTTGCCCCTTTGGGAAGCTTTGCGGTACGCATTGGAAACCCATTAACACTTTCAGAGCAAAACCAATTTGAAACATTCCTTGCTGTCTTTTTCGGATTTGTGAAAATCAGGGCTGTCTGTCAAGGTGGTCCACAACTTATGTTGAAGTCTGTATAACGTACAAAAGAAAGAGCAAAGCATATCATACCAAGCATCAACCATCCATGCAGCAAAGGAGCAATTCAAAAAATGAAGTAGAAAAAGAAAAAGTACAATAGCACTGGCACATCTCAGTTACGTGGGAAAGTAAATATTGTTTCCCCCCCAAAACCATAATATTCATGCAACTCGGAACGCGATAACTCTGAAACTTGCCGTTTTGGGGCGCTTTTAGACAAAACCTTCCATCAACTCTACTAAGCCTCATTTTGACAGGCCACAAGACATTTATTCAGGGCACAAATACAGCAACTGCACACAAACATTTAGCCGGTATCATGTGACCTCATGCTTGAGTACATAACATTAAGGGCAAGCGAGCGAAATGTACAAGCGTGTCCATGTGTCAACAGCAATAAATAATTATTTACATGTCATGTGCTAATCTCTAAACTACTCACACACTGGAACGATGAGCATATTATTATGAGGTGAGGCGTGTTACCACTATGAAAGTTTAAATAAATCTTTTTTAAAAGAATATAAAATATACGTATGAAATGAGCAAATCATGCATGTTTTCAAAAAGAGCCAAAACAACCCTTTATGTCACGTGGAATTCTCAACATCTTCATCATGGCAGCAAAGAGAACGGACATTGGTATCACAACAAGTTTTGTTTTGTTTTTTTTGCTTCGGAAATAGACGCACGCAAACAACGCCAGACACAAACGCACACAGTGTCTTTTTGTTTTAGCGTCTACATTCAACGGCATCTTTTCTGTTCACTCTAAGCGCAGCACGGTGTAACAAAGCACCCAACTGAGTACCAGTTCTTCGGGAACAGGTTCGAAACCTACTGTTTGTTTTTGTTTTTTTAACTCCACATTTAAAACAAAACTGTGAGCACATCAACTGCACAGTTTGGCATTAAACAAGCAAACCACAGCCCATTTTTCTGTCCCAGTTCCTACCAAAAAAATCCAAAAGCACACTATGATGCAACACTCTCCATGCCACAGGCCTCTGATAAGACGCGCTTGGCAATAGTAAAAAAAAGTAATGTGTGGGATTACGCTGATCGCCCGACAAACCCATCCATTTCATCTGACACACCATATTACGCACCCGCTCACGATATTAAACTCGAAGCATTCGGCACTGGCCCACATAAAATATCACTATTGCCATTTAACGATCTCGAAATCTTCTGCGAGACTAAACAAACGGACGTGGAGCACATTACAGGGGTCGAGCATGACTCAAAGGTTTAGAGTACACTATCTGCCACATTACTGGGGTCGAGCATGACTCAAAGGTTAGAGTACCGTCTCTACTTAACTGTCTCTACGTGAAATTCCCCAACACCCCCAATCTCGTCGTGACAGAACATCAGCTGCAGGTTCGGTTCATCAACGCTGACTTGGAACAGTCTAAAAAAAAGCACATAGTAAAAAAAATTCACTACAGAAATCTCTTCTCAAAAGGGAACATGACATTTTTGAACGAACAAGAAAAGCAAACGTGCATAACACAGTATCAATAGTTTCATCGCTTGGTGTACATTAAGTATATTTTATAAAAACAGCATCACCCGTCGCGCCAGCATCTGTCCAGCTTGGCGCTCACAGCTTCTCTCGCACGCAGCACTCGCATAAGACTAGCTTTCTACACTTGAACTTTTGGTATGGAAAAAGCTTTGATCTTGAAGTGCTGGCACATCTCTTTCACCTGGGGAGACAATCACAACAAAGAATTCAAATAATCTACTAGGGAATTTTGTAACAAAAGTTCTAACTGCAGGGTTGCTTTTACGCCCCAATCAACAAAATATAGTTATTTAAAGAGTGGAACCTAAGTTTTAGTTTTATTATCAGTTTTACGGCACTTGCAATACAATAAGGTCAGGTAAGTGCCAAAGATTAGAGATGTTACAAGAGAGTAACAGACACAAAAAAGAAGGAGGGGAGATAAAGACGATAGATATTTGATAGGAAAGAAGAAGCAAACCACACCAGAGCACCCGCCAACCACCCACAGAAGAGATCAGGACAGCAGATGTATGAGAGGAAAGAAGGAGCAAACCACACTGGAGCTTCCACCAACCACTCGTCCGGGTGGTATATAAATACATTTTTTCTGAGGCAAAAAGTTCTCACACTGTCAGACGACCGAGATGATAGCAAACAAAGAACACTAAAGCACAAAAAAAAAAGGAGACAAAATTGTCGCACATTCACCTCAAGAAACTTTGAGTCATAGTATTATAGTCCTACATATTCATGACATCTAATTGTCTTGAACATCTTGAAAATATGTGTCACAACACAGTGGAATCAGGAACTCGTCAATTTTTGGGCATGTTGAGTTATTGGTACTGTCTTATAGATTGTTTATTTGTCTAGCTTTCAATGAAGAAACTACCTATCTATCTACCTTAAATAGAAGTCGAGATATTTGCCATTGAAAGAGGTGGGGTCCCCTGGTTCTTGTGGAAATATTAGCGAGAAAATGGCAGCCAAAGTATGGCAACTTCCATAGGTTGAGAATCCTTGGGAAACTGAAGATTTACATCTTTCCTGCCTTTCAGCAATGTTTTTCAGCAAAATCCGCATAGGAAATGTCTTTAAATGGACAAAAAAAAGGTGATGAACCAAAAAACAAAAATTTGATAAAAATTGCCCAACCTGCGAAAAAAATGGCGTTTTCTTTGATTAGCATTATTTTGACGAGCGCCTGATTTCAACATGATGCCTAACATTTATATGTCAAAGCTCAAACTTGCACAGCAATTTAGCAAGAGGGAGAAAAAGATAAAAACATGGTTTTCCCCTGGAAAGAAACTTTGCTATGGGGGCTCTCGTGGCTTAGAGGTTAAGGTGTTGGCCTCTCATTCAAAGGTCCCGCGTTCGAATCCGGGTAGCGACCGAAACATTTTCTTCTCTAAAATTGTCTCCTTTCACCTCCTTTCCTGCTCTCTAGCAATGTTCTGTTTTCTGCTTTCGTTTCCACTTTCTGCCCCCACCCCTCACCTCCTTTACCCCCTCCTCTGGGCTTCTGACTCTTTCTGCAACCTTTCTACTGCTACTCCTTGGCTCCTCGTTACTGCTGTCTTTCTGCCACACCCCTGATCTTCTGGTAGGAAAGATCTACACCTAGCCTTCTCGGAAAAGGGCGAAAAATCTCGGAGGGCCAGAGTGCAAGTTGCGCACGTTAAAGATCCCTTGGTGGTCTAAGATCGATCAGAGTAGGCTTCGGCCACCACCCGGGAAAATTAAAAATTTCCTACCAACTGAAAATATTAGGTGTGTCCCGCACGCTCATATGACCTTATGCAGTTGCAAGCGCCATAAAACACCTACCAAAAAAAAACAAAAAAAAACTTTGCTACGACCTCAGCTGACACCTTCACAAGGCAATCAGTCAGGCTTACCTCCCTTCTTATCTTCCACCTTTGTCTCAACTTCCTCCAATCACACTGTACTTTAAGCCATCTTATGCGAAAGGGATAATACAGTGAGCCCCAACAGACCCGCTCTATCTTACCTCATTGCAGTTTTCCAGCACCAACACTTTACCAGCTGCACCCATTCCACTATATATCTATCCTCGTTCTTAAGTCTGTAAGTCGCTTCTGAGTTTCTCCATAGACCAGTCAAATTGGTCGCTTTTAAGCACAAGGGGGTTATTCGGGAAAATGCTGTTTTGAGAAAATCGAAGGTACAGTTTCTTCCCCTTGTTCAGTTTCTTTAAAAGATAAAGAGAGTTTTCTCTATAACCAAACAAATATACACACCAAAGAAACAAAACTTCTCCTATTGGAAGGACAATGTCCACTTTTGGTGTAGGTCAAGATTTCTGGAAACCCTCAAAAATCTAGGTTAACCCGCTTGTCCTTAAAAGCAACCATTTATCCTTGAAGGAAAATTTAGTTTTAAAGCAAGAGTTTTACAGCACTTGCAAATACAATAAGGTTACAGCAGATTGGACTGTATAAAAAATATGACCGAAGCCTTACCACGCCGACACCAAACATGACATGCAGGCCGGTGATGTAGAGGCAGTAGGCCCACAGAAGGTACACCTCCGTCTCCCCGAGCTGCAACACGGCCACCAGCAGCACGATGGTGAACAGCGGGAATACTGAGCGGTTCAGCAGCTCGCAGCGTGTGCTGCTCATCTGCGCTATGATGAGATGGCACTGGGGACAGGGAAAGACACACATATACATATATATAATATATATATATATTCACAGAGTGTGCTGCTCATCTGCTCTATGATGAGATGGCACTGGGGACAGGGAAAAACACACATATACATACATATAATATATATATATTCACAACATGTGCTGCTCATCTGCGCTATGAGATGGCACTGGGAACAGGGAAAAACACACATATACATTACATTCATTGTAAATAATTTTATGCCTGGATTTTATTTATTGAAAATGAATAAAGGCAAAAAAAATTGTAAATTTGCAGTTTGGAAAGACTCTAAAGATATGGAAGTCACCACACTTTTGTATACATTTTCTCACTAATTTTACTTTTCAAACCAGGCGACCCCCACCTAATTCAACAGCAAGTATTTCGACTTCTATTCAAGATAAATGGACATTTTTTTCAATGAAAGCAAGGCAAATAAATAACCTTTAAGATGATGCCAATAACTCCATATGGCCAAAAATTGACGAGCGCCTGATTCCACCACGTCATGACACATATATGAGCAAAGGTTATAATTGACTGCTATAATATGAGAGAGACAGACGGCAAAAAGTCAGTAGTGTACATACGAGCAAAGGTTATAACTTACTGCTATAAGAGAGAGACAGAAGGCAAAAAGTCAGTACTATAATTATATATAAATATATGAGCAAAGGATATAACTGACTGCTAAGAGAGAGAAAGACGGCAAAAAGTCAGTAGTGTACATACGAGCACAGGTGAGAACTTACTGCTATATGGGAGAAGGCGGTGCCCGTGGTCCAGTAGTAGAGGCGCGGCTGCAGCTCGACGATGTTGCAGGAGGAGATAACCCCCCAGGTGACCAGCAGCGAGAAAAGCACCATCGTGGACACAAGGGGCCGCATGGCTTCAGAAAAGGAATGCATCTTGCCCGTCTTATCGCGGTAGGATCTGGGGACACAGCGGTCATTGAGACACCCTCAGCGTGGCGTGATCGAAGGAAAAAGTAGAAAAATGGCTGCATGTGAGAGTAACTGTTTATTGATAATGCATATCATCAGTTTGGTTTTTGTTTTTGTTGAGGTTTTACGGCGCTCGCAACTGCATAAGGTCATATGAGCGCCAAGGGGTGGGTGTCAACAGAGAAGTCTTTATAGTGAATCAGACTTACTCTGCTCACCTCTCTAGCTTCAACAGCACAAAGTCTGTTTCGACTATCAAGGCACCCCGGAAATAGCAGGTCATAAGAGTGTGACAAACATACAAAAGAAGTAGAGGAAAATGACAATAGTTAGGATCAGGTAAGAAAAAGCAGCAGTTCGCTGTTGTAGATCACGCACAGTTATGAGCGTGACATGAGTCAGCCCATTTACAATTCTACTATGCTTGAACGAGAAATGTTCCCCCTTTGGGAATGGCCTAAAGACACTACAGTCAGTGGCACTGCCCCGGGGGGTAGACACACTGTTTGACTGAAGTCTTTTGTGATGATAATGCAAATATCATCAGTGTCGCAAGCAATCCACTTAAGTCCGTTTGGGTACTTTTTACACGAGAGTCTAAAAAAAACAAGTTTTTGTTGAGGTGTTCCCATCTGGAATAATTAAAAGCAAGAAAATTGTAAGCCTTGGCCATAGGAATAAACTGCATTTTGGTGATGTTAAAAGGTGTTTAATTGATCGAGGTTTGGGAGGGTGTAAAAATAGAAAACGCTCAAAATTTGGACTTAAATGATTTGCTTGAGACAGCGAGGGTATGGTATTGCTGAAGGACCACTAGAATAATGCAAAGGGTGAACGACAGTATCTCGCCATGCGACCACAGAATGACCTGAAGAAAGAGGACATTTTGTGTCGATATTAAAGTTGTTCCCGCATCCGATTCGGACTTTGGGGATTGCCTTGTTAGTGAGACAACTTCCTGGGCCTTCGGCATATTGTGGTAGGGTGGCAAGTTTCTTTCCATGCCGCCTTTACTTCCCCAACTCGAAGTCAGGTACCCATTACTGCTGGGTAGGCTGGAGGGGGCAAAAAAATCTGTGTCCGAAAGGAGGCTCAAACCCGGACTTTCCACTTCAGAGACGAGCGCACTAACTGTTCCGCCACTGCACCCTCTATTGTGTCGACAATAGCGGGGGGGAACAAATTTAATTTACGGTCAAAAGAGCACTGTGTGTACTTTACTTTCAGGAAAAGGAACATACTTTGTATTATATCTGATCAAGGATGGCAGGATCTGGAAAATTTTATACAGATGTGGTGCGCATGAGAAAATAAAAGCTCCACACAAAAGTAAAAAGGCACGGTGCTTTACACAGAAATAAAAAACTCATTTACGGTAAAGTCAATCATCACATTATAGTCTGGGGATAAGTGAAGACGGCAGAAAACGGAATGAAATGAGCTGTCTAATCCTTTTATGAATTGAAATGGGAATACCAAATTATGTCTCTCTTGTAAGTGCTTTAGATTATGCTTTTGAGCTGGCGAGGAAAGTGTAATGCTTCTATCAACGATGAGCATGACGCGGGCAGTATTGCATACAGACTTATCTCAAAAAGGCCGCCTCCCAGTCAACAGGTCATTTTCACAATGGTTTGTTCAGTCAAAACTAAAATATACAGAAGAGGCTGAAATTTTTGAGAACTCAAGTAAGGAATCCTCGATGCATTATTTTGATTAGCGTCTGATGTCACCTCAATGCCTCACATGTGTGTCTGTTCTCATTCAAAATACCACAGCAAACAGTGAGCGCTATTCAGCTAATTTATTGGAAGTAATCAAATTAGAAATCAGGATAAAAGACCAACGCTGAAATAAAGACTCCACATACCTGTATACATTGTAGAATGTTGGAGGAAAAGTCAGTCCGAAGAAGCCCGCTGAAACACAGACATGAACAATTAGTAATGATTTTAAAATTTTTTAAATTGTTTTGTTCCACACCATTCTTAGAGTGTCCTGTTAATTTTCCATTTCAAAATTGAGCTATCAGATCTGGTTACGTCTGAACACTTATTAACCTCTACTTTCCAACCCAAAAGAGTGCATAATTTCATACTCATTTTTGTCCTAAATTATTCTTCAAAAAAACATCTCCCCAAATGTCAAAGGTACATTTTCTGTTTAAGATTGGCAAAACTCATAACCTAAATAAACAGGCATAATGCCATCAAACACAGAGACATAAAACAAAAAAACAGTTGTGTCAAGCTGACAAATGAACAAGCCTTGACAACGACAGCACTGAACAACAGTGAAGATCTTAGCCATTACACCCAGATGTTGCTGTAGTGTATATTAGAAGTAAAACGAAAACCTGCTCAAGGACAAAACCATGTTGGCAATCCCGCTAAAAACTGTGACCATTTGAAACGTATCCCATCTATGAGTAAAGAATTTATCAATCCCTACCCTTTCGGTTATTCAGAGCAGTGTCAGTGCGGAACCAGAAACTAAACGGGGAACCACTTGCAGCAGGCCTGCCCAACACACGAGGCACAAAGAAAGAAATGTTGGCCCAACCATAGGCAGAGAGAGCCAACACTCTATGGGGGCCTGGAGGAGCTGTGGTGAATAGCAGCCTTCTATTTTGTATTTGTGAGGTTTTACGGCGCTTGCAACTGCATGTGAAGTCAGTCCTGTTGTATGGATGTGAGACACGGAACGCACCTCAGACAGGCATAAAGAGGATCCAGGTTTTCTCGAACAAGTGTCTGAGGAAGCTACTGAGGATCAGATGGACAGACATGATAACCAACGAGGAAGTATTAAGAGGAACGAGACAGAGCCCAGTCAGAGACGAGGTGGGAAGAAGGTGTTGGTGATGGATTGGACACACTTTCAGGAAGTCAAGCAGCTGATTAACAAGGAAAGTATTAGATTGGAACCCAGAGGGTAAAAGATAAAGGGGAAGACCATGTGGAACCTGGAGAAGAGTAACGGAAATGGATGTACAGGAAAGTAGGAAGACATGGAGTGACATCAAGCGCCACGCCCAGGATAGGGAAAGGTGGAAAGTGCTTGTTCGTTGCCTATATCCTGACCCAGGGTGAGAAAGGCAATGATGATGATGAACCTTTCGGTTATTCAGAGCAGTGTCAGTGCGGAAAAAGAAACCAAACGGGGAACCACTTGCAGCAGGCCTGCCTAAGACACGAGGCACAAAGAAAGAAATGTTGGCCCAACCATAGGCAGAGAGAGCCAACACTCTATGGGGGCCTGGAGGACCTGTGGCGAATAGCAGCCTTCTATTCTGTATTACTGAGGTTTTACGGTGCTCGCAACTGTATAAGGTCATATGAGCGCCAAGGGGTAGGTGTCAACAGAGAAGTACAAACAGGGAATTGGGCTTACTCTGCTCACCTCTCTCGCCTCAACGGCACAAAAACATCCCGGAAATAGCAGTTCACAACAGAGTGACAAACATACAAAAGAAGTAGAGGGAAAAATGACGATGGGAAGGATGTGGAAAGAAAAAGCAGCAGTTCCCCCTATGTTGTTCCGGCACAGTATGAGCATGACACAGATAAATAAGCCCATTTACAATTCTACTGTGCATAAAAGACCATGTTAATATCCCCCCTTTGGGAATGGCCTAAAGACACTTCAGTCAGTCGCACTGCCCTGGTGGGGAGGCCCAAAACTCAATTCCCAAAACTCAATTGGGGCACAGAGAACCTGTAGCGAACAACAGCCTTCACACTACAGACTGGGATGTCCTTTTAAAGATGAATGAGAAAAAGAAAAAAGAAGAGCCCCTGTCCATTAACTGTTCACACAAAAACTCCCCTTACATACAAAGAAAAATGAAACACATTAATTGATCTAATATACACCACAGCATTCTTTTTACTTACCATATAGACTAATTTCGAACAATTCTGCGGGCGACCAATTCACTATTGGCAATGTGAACTTCCAGATGTCATGGCCACCAACAAACGTAATTAAATACACAATGGTCATCGACTGCAAAGGAAAAACAAACAATAAACTTTTAGAATTCTGAACACAGAAGTGTGTTTTCTAAATAATATAAACAGAACAAACTATTCTTAAGAATCATTTATCACAAAGTCAAACAACAAACTGTGACAACAAAACTTAAGGAACAATTACATTCTTGACGAAATGTGTTGCTTTCATCATACAAAAAAAAACCACACAAAAAAAAACCCTGCATCCAGTAATAAAGTCATCAATCAAACTTTTTAAAATTTTAGTTAGTTTTTTGTTTTAGTAAAGGTATTACGGCGCTTGCAACTGCATAACGTCATATGAGCGCCAGAAGATTAGAGGTGTAACAAGAGAGTAACAAACATAAAAAAGAAGGGGAGATAAGGACGATACATGTTTCAAAGGAAAAAAGGAGCAAACCACACCAGAGCACCCGCCAACCGCCCACAATTAGAGTTTAGTGACACTTGCAACACAATTAGGTCACATAAATGCCAAAGATTAGAAGTGTTACTAAAGAGAACATGCAAAGAAAAGACAGATGAGAGATTAGGACAAAGACGTCGGACAGGAAAGAAAGAAGAGCAAACCACATCATGATACCAGAGCACCCGCCACCCACCCGCAGGTCAAGGTTTAAACCCAACAGGTCAGTGTGACAGATAACCCAGAGAGCAGAGAGGGCAGATCAAAGTTTATCCTATGACCTACATTCCCATCACAGCCGCAGCGACTGCACCACATTGAACTACTTCAACAAGTACTGCAAGCTTATCAAACATTTTCCTTCATGTTAGCGTGAGGCTAACTCAAAACAGCAGAGGCCTTTTGGAGAGAAGCTTCAACAGCGCGCCACGACCGACCACACACCGCTGTGACAACACTTTACACGGGTCGCCTAGAGAGGAAAGTGATGCTCCATGTCTCACGTCTGATAACACGGATTTCACAGATAACGGAGCAACAACACAGCAGCGGGCCACGAGTCCACATGCAGAGAATCATACCTCTTTTTTTTAGGGGGGGGGGGGGGGGGGTAAGTGTTTTACGGTGCTCGCAACTGCATAAGGTCATATGAGAGCGCGGGACACATTAAGCATTTTCAGTTGGTAGGAAATTTTGAATTTTGCCCGGTTGGCAGCCGAAGCTTACTCTTATCGATTTTTGACCAAAAAAGGGATCTTTAACGTGTGCAACTTGCACACGGGACCTCTGAGGTTTTTCTCCCTTGTCAGAAAATGCTAGGTGTAGATCTTTCCTACCTCTGAAAGACAGCAGTAAGAAGGAACCAAGGAGTAGCAGTAGAAAGGTTGCAGAAAGAGCCAGGAGCCCAGTGGAGGGGGTCAAAGGAGATGAAGGGGTGGGGGAAGAAAGAGGAGACAAAAGCAGACCACAGAATATTGCTAGAGGAAGTGAAAGGAGACAATTTTAGACAAGAAAATGTTTCCGTCGCTACCTGGAATCGAACCCGGGACCTTTGAATGAGAGGCAAACTCCTTAACCTCTAGGCCACGAGAGCCCCACTTTATCTTCAACAAAACACCAAAAGAGGTTGGTGCAACACGTGCCTAAAGATACAGACCACTTTCTCTTCATGATAGGAGAAGCAAAAGGGATGAAATCAGCACACTGGTATTAGATCATAGTTATCGAGAGGCTGACAAAGTGATAGCCCCACTAAAAAAAGAAGAAAGAAGCGGGTCACTTATCTTGCTTCCATAAAGTTATAACAAATTTAAGAAGGAAGAAAAAGATTTGAAAAAAATCTAGCTGATATGAAAACTGTGCACACACCACAACAGCAAAGGGACAGGTGAAAGTTCAGGGGGGAAAAGATAAACAATATACACACATCAGTCACTGGGACAGCAATCAGTTGGTCCTTTCAGCATATATACATACATTGAGAATAAAGGACCTAGTGGCAGCTGGACCTTGTCGTGAAAGCACCTTTGACACATGCCTCTACTACATTTGACCCCAGGGAATGAGCAAAATGGTGACCCCAGCCAAACTCCCCCCCCCCACCCCACCCCCTCCCAGGGCAGTGCTACTGACTGAAGTGTCTATAGGCCATTCCCAAAGAGGGGGGGACGTTAACCTGTTCTTATGCACAGTATAATTGTAAATGGGCTGATTCACCAATGTCATGCTCATAACTGTGCCTGAACTGCAACAGGGAACTTCTGTTTTTTCTTTCCTAATCCTTACTATCATCATTTTTCCTCTACTTCTATTGTATGTCACACTCTTGTGACCCGCTATTTCCAGGGCTATTTCCAGGTGCCTTGATAGTCGAAGCAGACTTTTAGTTTCAGTAAGAGTTTTACGGCCCTTGCAACACAATAAGGTCATACAAGTGCCAAAGATTAGAGGTGTTACAAGAGAGTAACAAGCACAAAATAGAAGGAGGAGAGGTAAGGACGATACATGTTAGATAGGAAAGAAGGACTAAACCACACTAGAGCACCCGTTAACCACCCACATCTACTACATTTGACCCCAGGAAATGTGCAAAACTGTGAGCCAGCCAAAGTCTTCCCATCATGTTCAACACCTTCACAGGATCTTCAAGCATAAATAGAACCCAATTCTTGATGCCTAAAATGTTATTGCCACCGTAGCACGAGAAATGAGTTAATAACATCTCCTTTCCTACAACACATGCAGAAAAATTAGTTTACTTTTAGTCAACAGTTTTATGGCACTTGCAACTTAAAAAGGGCATTTAAAAGCCGAAGATTAGAGGTGTTACAAGAGAGTAACAAATACAAAAAAGAAGGAGGGGAGATAAGAACAATAACTCAACGTTTGATAGGAAAGAAAGAGCAAACCACACCAGAGCACCAGCCAATCACCCACAGAAAAATGAGTAACCCCAAGCCTGACTCTTCCTCTCCCTGCAAATGAAGGTCAAATGGCATTGTAACTCTTGTCTTACAGCATCCGTGATATTGAATGATAAAGTTTGATTACAGACTGAACAATTATATTCTACAGAGAATATAAATATTCTTCACCATCGCGATAAGATTGGAAGACTGAAACATTTTTTATTTCGCTTTTTTTTTCAATGAAAGATATGTGAGGCAGCGTGGTGAAATCTGGCACTCGTCAAAATGGTGAAATCAAAGTAATCTGTATCTTTTTGGCAGATGTGAAATTTTTTTTCAAGGGCTCAACACCTTTTATGTCCATTTAAAAACACATTTTTGTGTGGATTTTACTAAAAAACGGTTAAAGGTACAAAAAATGAAAATTTTAAGTTTCCAAGGACTCTCAGGCTATGGAAGTTACAAAACTTGGGCAGCCATTTTCTCGCTAATATTACTTCTGAAACCAGATGACCCTGACCTCCTCCAATTGCAAATATTTCGACTTCTATTCAACATACATAGATCTTTTTTTCACCAAAAGGAAGGCAAATGAACAGGTTTTAAGATGATACCTATAACCTCACATGCCCAAAAATTGACCAACGCCTGATTCAAACGCGTTGCGACACATATTCTACAAAGCATGTTTCATACTGGTCAATAATCAATTTGTATTCAGATATACAACCAAAAGTGAATTGTTTAAAAGTATGAAAATCAGACAGCTCTAAGCCGTTCTTTTAAAAAATCTTCTTTTGTTTTCGTCTCATGAAAAATTTACCTGATGTCACTTATTCGATCTTATCACGACAGCGCCGCTATATATATATAGAAACGTTCCACAGACACTTACTATCTGGCCAATGTCGTATCCCCAGGGCAAAAAGAGGACACCTGTGTTGTACTTCTCCCAGTGGCTGATGACGAAACACACCATGATGCCCACGACACACAGGTACACGCGGAACGCGTTGACCCCGTGCTCACCCCGGCCAAAGATCCCGTAGACGGCCACGGGGATGAACAGGGTGGCCCAGCTGTCCAGGCCGTGGTCAAACAGCTCCCCGAGAGGGGACGATGACTTTGTCCTGCGAGCTTGCTTGCCGTCAATTCCATCTGCAAAACAAGAGAAAATGCTGGTCAAAGAAACAGGTCTTCGTCATCATGAATACTGTCATTTTTTTTGTTCACTTTTTAAAAAATTGTTGTTTGCGTAGTAATCTACTGTAAATGATTGTACAGCACTCAGAGCTTGTTGTATCCTTATGGGACAGAGTGCTTTTAAATGCTATTTATAATCACTATTACTTTTAAAAGTCCATTTATTTGAGTCCTTTCCAAAACACAGCATTTCAACATCCAGGTAGCATAGAACATGATCAATGATCATCTTTACACATGTGTACGAAATAAGATGCAGAAAACTTTAATTACGAAGTAACAAAAACATCACCTTCAAACATCCTTCAGACCAAAGAAGAAAAAAAAGCCCAATAAAAATAAAATATAAAATAATCACCACAAATTAGCTATTTGCTGCTCTGACACTTTTTTTTTTTAAAATCAGAACATTTTCCTTTTCCTCATTTTTTGCTGAAAAAAAACCTTTCGCCTTCATCTGTACTCACTCTAGCCATACGATAATAATAATCCAAAGAAAACGCTCACCTAGCGTGTGCGAGAGAAAATTGTTGATTGCACCAACGAGCCAAACCCAGTTGGGGACTGGGGCGTATTCCGGATAGTCTCGACTCGCGGCAAAGAAATGTGGGTCGTAGTACGTCATCACGGCAAAGTTGACCAGCAACATCATGAAGCCAGTGAAGGTGAGCAGGTTGGGGGCGACCCATAGTGGAACAAACTGAGGAGAGGAAGAGTAGTAGTAGAGGTTTTACGACGCTCGCAACTGCATAAGGTCATATATGAGCGCCAAGAGATTAGAGGTGTTACAAGAGAGTAACAAACATAAAAAAGAAGAAGGGGAGATAAGGGTGATAGATGTTTGATAGGAAAGAAGAAGCAAACCACACTAGAGCACCCGCCAACCACCCACGGAGGAGAGGGAGATCAGAACCCCTAAAAAGTTGCTTGTTTATAATGCCTCTCTGTAACATTGAAACATACATGCATGCAAAATATGAATGAATAGAATAAAAAATCGTGAGCGATACAATTTAGGTGAAGCTCTGCTTTAGATGATGATTAAACTCTATCTCAACAGGGACATTGCAGTACAACAAACAGGAAATGAAAGCACATACATGATGAAGGAAAAAAGAGGGTTTGTTATCTTTTCATGTCATGCGTAATCATAATGTAGAGAAGCAAACCACAGATAAAGTGAGTCTTTCTATCCCAGTAAAGGCATTTCTTGAACGACAAAAAAAGGGTCTTCTCTTTCATTCCAGTTTAGTGTGTTTTGGACAATGTCATCTTTTAATCTTGAAAGCTTACAGCAGTGGTGCAAAAAGAAACTCTGACCCCACACCTCTATATATTTATATTATATATATATATAAAGTTAAACTCACCTGAACAGCCCAGTTCCAAAATGGATGACATATATAATTGCTGACTGGACTGGTATCTACGGCACTGTACTGAAATGAAAAACATATCTCTCTATTAAATTAAAGTTATACTTTAACTGGTCACTCTTAAACACAAAGGGGCTATCCCAAAAAATGCTGTTTTGAGAAAATCGAAGTTTTTGCCCCTTGTTCAGTTTCTTTAAAATACAAAGAGAGTTTTTTCTGTAACCAAACAAATATACACACCAATGAAATCAAACTTCTCCTATAGGTAGGGCAATGCCCACTTTTGGTGTAGGTCAGGATTTCTGGAAAACCCTGAAATCTGGGTTAGCCCGCTAGTCCTTAAAAGCGACCAAATAAACACATTTTATTTTAACAACAATATCCTGATGATGAAACTTCATACCAGAAAAACACAATTTACAAGGAAAGGCTAGTTAAATACCTTCTTTTCATTCTAAAATGTTAGCTGATGAAAGTCTAAACTTCTGACAATAAAGCCGCACTTTACAGAATGATGGGGAATACACAGAAAAAAAGAGGATTTTCCTTCCTTGAATTCTCATCGTGTCCAGGAGGAAAGAAAATAATCAGCTCACATAGATCTGAACCTTTAACTGCTCAATTGTTATTCTTCATGCATAAAAACTGAAGATTTTGGTGTTTTAAAATGCTTACATTGTATGCACACATAAAGCTCTGATTTTTCTTTGGTCTCAGTAAGGTTTTACGCAATGTCATGTATAATAAGGTCCTATAAGTGCAGAAAGTTAGAGAGGTGTTACAAGAGAGTAACAAACAAACAAAAAAAGGAGGAGAGATAAAGAAGATAGACGTTGAAATTTGACAGGAAAGACGGAACAAACCACACTAGAGCATCCGCCAACCGCCCACATACTCTGCTGTAAAACTAAATTTTTTAAAGGCAAGAATGTGAGCATCACTGCTACACTATGCACAAATCTCATCCACTGCACAAGCATGCGACTAAATTTACATAATATTAAAATCAATGTAAGCTGGGAGGTTGACATCGTTTTGATTGAATTCTGTACAGTCGGACTGCTTCAAAAACCATCTGTCCAAAAGACAATAACCTGCACAAATAACCACTTCTCGCTTAAATTCTCCTGACATGTTTTTCTTTAATAAAGACACTGTCCAAGAGAACCATCTGTAGCAGATAACCACTTTTCGTCTCGACAACGTGTAGTCATCTTGAGACATACTATGATTGCAGAACCTTAAAATCTTATCGAAGTTTGGCTTCCACTCAAGATTCATTCAACAACCGACTGACCATTGCCAACCTTACATAAAACCTGAAAGAGGCGAGAGAAGAAATGCCAAGATGAGAGGAATTACTGTGAGAGAAGGTAGCCTCTATATGCCTCTTGAGAGCTGAGTCACAAACTCAAGTGTTGATAGCTTGCCCCTGCTGCAGTACTGTCTTTCATTAAATACTTCTCGATACTTTAACTTCTGATTTTGATTTTGTATACATTTTTTGTTGTTGGACGCCGTACAAACAAAGGATATATATATACATGTATCACTGTTTGAAAATAATTCCATTGTCAATCACTTAAACACATTATTTCTCTACCTTCTATTTTCCGACATAACAAAGCAAAAAAAAAAAAACAAGAGGCCAACACTGCAGCAAAATGACTTACTATCATTACAGTTAGCTCAGACAACCACACAGTACCTTTAATACAGGCAAAAACACTCTTCAATCAACAAGGGAAACCCATAAAACCAAACAGCGTACAATTACAAACACCTCTAGGCATGGGCCTGGACGTCACATGTCATAAAATACGATGGCACACTTAACCATACACATGATAAACTTTGAATCCATGTTACATATTTATAGTGTACAATATAATATTGTAAGGAAAGTCTGATTAATTACTGAAAAGTATTTCATGTGAATGACAATTCAAGTTAATTTTTTGGGCCCAAACAAAAATTTTTAATGTGCAATAGATTTATCCTAGATATCATGAACAAAACAGTAATATTATGAATTGAGCATGCACACACATAGTTCTACCCTTTTTTTTTTTTTAACTTCCTACGAAAAGCTTGAACTTTTTATAGAGAGAAACTATTCTACTGTATAGAATAATAGAGAAAACTATGTTGGTGCATATTTTTGCATACATTATTTTTAGGAGAGTCTCATTATTTTAATTAATGAAAATTATTTCTCATGTGAACAACAATTCAAGTTAATTTTTTGGGCCCCCAAACTAAAATTTGTCATGTCAAAGATTGGTCATTTAGTTACAATCATGAACAAAACACTACTTTTGTGAATGAGCCCACATTTAATTCTACTTTCTTTTTTAACTTTCTAAGCAAAGTAGGGATGGGCGTTGGTCGATATTAAGCCAATCACTAGTACTGGTATCGACTAATAGAAGAAATTCAGTATCGATCGACACCCAGTACTGGTTAAGGAAATCGTTGGAAAACAAGGGACACAACACTTGTAGGCCTATATCAAAATGTACTAGGCTTTCGAATACTGACGACTTCATAGTATTCTCCGACTTTTGACCAAGGAATGACAAGAGAAGCCTATTGTAAAAATGGCTGCACCTGTGCGATTGTACACCTACTATAGTACCTCTGTTATATGTAAGAGTACACAAAAAATATTTTTATCCATCCCATGTTATCTCAGTTACTGTTTCAGGTTTCGAAAGTGAAGGGTCTTTCTTTTCTCTTTAAAAAAACCTCTGTATTGACTCTAGTATCAATTAAGGGACTTCAATATAATCGAGCATCGATTAATTTGCCCATTCATAACCAGTAGTGGATATAGGTGTATCGACTAACACCCATCCCTAATGCAAAGCTTGACAGTATAAGAGAAATCCTACTGTTTATAAGAACACTATTCTTTACTACACGACAAAGGATTACCCCAACGTCTTCCGAGTAGACATACCGGCTTCTTGTAAGAGTTAATTTATATATGATAATTTTTATTTCTCGCCATTATGATTTTTGGTCTTTTAAAAGTTGTGTTCTATGTCTCAAAATATAAGCCTTCTTAGTTGAGCTGAAGAAAGTAGGAGCCTTTTAATACTTTTATGATTTAATAATATAATATAACAAATAAGTTTGTGTTCATCCTTTTAGTAGAGAAATGAATGTCATGATACAATCAAAGCCACACTCATAGACAACTGCACATTCAGCTTTGATGGTTACTAAACCAATCATTATTTCATTGTTAGACTATCTCTATGATATGATGGATGATTTTTAAAAGAGTTTTTAAAGAGTAGTTATGTAACACAAAATAGATCATACCCTCATTCGTTACACCTCGCTGAATATCGCATCATGCCCTTTGTTTGGCAAAGGCTCTTCTGCTCCACCACAGACCACACAGCTAGCTAGCCTATCTAGATCTTTCACAGTGACAGTGCGAGTCCAAACCACAAAAACCAACCCTAGTGACCCTTTTTTTATACGAAGTGGCTAGCCGTACTTAAGTACGGCTAGA